CATTTCTGTGCTTTCCAGGTTGACTTCTGGGTGCTTGTCATTATCCTTTTGGTCTAGAGATTTAATGTATTTTTGCATGGTGCCTGTCAGTGTTGGCTTACTTTTCCTCATAGTGAAAATATGTGGTTGCAGTTTCCTCTTGCTGCCACTGCGTGGGGGTCAAGGGCTGTGTATTCTGGCCTGCTTCAATCCGCAGGCACTCTCGTCAGCCCCTGGCTGATCTGAGGTGTGGCTGAGTGGAGGCTGCTGGGGGGGAAGCATGGGAACAGGTGGAGCTGGAGCATGGGAACAGCTGGGACTGGAGCACTGCTAGGCTGAAGCAGCTGGGGCTCAGGTGCAGGTGGGTTGAAGCAGCTGCAGCTGAAGTGCCTCTGGGCCAAAGAAGCAGGAGCTGGAGCACCGCTGGGCTGAAGAAGCTGGAACTGGAGTGCTGGGCCAAAGAAGCTGGAACTGGAGTGTGCTGGGCCAAGGAAGCTGGAACTGGAGTGTGCTGGGCCAAAGAAGCTGGAACTGGAGTGTGCTGGACCGAAGAAGGAGGAACTGGAGTTCCACTGGGCCAAAGAAGCTGGAACTGGAGTGCGGTGGGCCCAAGTTGCTGGTGCCCAGTCAGCTGGAGCCTGAGCACAGGCCAAGTGGAAGCAGCTGGAGCCAGGGGGATGGTCAAGCCAAAGGAACTGAGGGAGGGGCACGGTCCAGCCAAAGGAGCTGGGGCTGTGGCACGGTGGAGCTGGGGAAGCTGGGGCCATGGCTTGATCCAGCTGTAGCAGCTGGGACTGTCGCATGGTGGGGCCTGAGATGCTGCTGCCTCTGGTGCAGGGGCACAGGCTCACCCCGCTGCTGGTCAGGCCCAGGCACCTGGGGGCCACTGCCTGTGGGGGTGGGGCATGGTCACGCTGCCCCTGCTGGTGGGGCCTGGGTGCCCAGGGGCTGCTGCCTCTGGGGACTGGGCTGAGCTGAAGCGTGGCTGTGCTGAAGCACCAGTCCGGCGGGAAGGGTGGGGGAGGAGTGCTTACTTTCATCTCCCCAATCTCAGAGGTTTCTCACCTCTCTGTCACTCTCTGTTCTCCTGAGGGGCTAGCTTGTTTAAACTACCCTCAAAACAGTTCTGCTCCCTCTATAGGGGGATCCCCTCAGCTGTGAGGCATCTTGGAGAATGCTGTTTTTCACGTGGTGAGCTTCCCCTCCCCCCCTCTGAGAGCCACGTGGTCTCAGTCTCTGGGTCACAGTCCTTGGGGAAGGAAGGGAGCTCCTCTTAACTCCTTCCACTTACTCTGAGGATTCCAGCACTGCAGTCCTCAGGTGTACGGCTGCCTGAGTGCCTCAGATGTCCCCTGTGTTGTGTGAATAGCTTCTGTTGTAATATGAATGTCCTTTTTGTTGTGTCTTAGATGGGGAGAGTTCAATGGGGGAAGCTCACTCCACCATGATGCTGACGTCACTCCCTACATACCACATTTTTTTAATCCATTCATCTGTCGATGGACACTTAGGTTGTTTCCATGTCTTGGCTATTGTAAATAATGCTGCAATGAACATGAGATTGCACATATCTTTTCAAGTTAGTGTTTTCATTTTCTTCAGATAATTACCCATAAGTGGAATTGCTGAATCATATTGTAGTTCTATATTTAACCTTTTGACGCATCTCCATACTGTTTCCCATAGTGGTTGCACCAATTTACATTCCCACCAACAGTGCACAAGAGTCCCCTTTTCTCCACATTCTTGCCAACACTTACTTCTTGTCTTTTTGGTAATAGCCATTCTAACAGTTGCAAGATGATACCTCATTGTGGTTTTGATTTTCATTTCCCTGATAATTAGTGATTTTGAGTCTTCTTTGGAAAAAATGTCAATTCAGATCCTCTGCCCACTTTTTAATCAGATTGTTTTGTTTTGTTGTGTTTTGTTGCTATTGAGTTGTGTGAGTTCTTTATATATTTTGAATATTAACCCCATATCAAACCTATGATTTGCAAATATTTTCTCCAAGTTGGTAGGTTGCCTTTTCATTTCGTTGATGCTTTTTAGTTTTATGTAGTCCCACTTGTTTATTTTTGCTTCTGTTGCCTTTGCTATTGATGTCAGATCCAAAATATCATCACCTACTGATGTCAAGGAGCTTACTCTCCATGTTTTCTTCTAGGAGTTTTATGGTTTCAGGTCTTTTGCTCAAGTCTTTAATCTATTTTGAGTTAATTTTTCTGTATGGTGTAAGATAGTGGTCCAGTTTCATTCTTTTTGCATGTGGCTGTCCAGTTTTCCCAACACCATTTATTGAAGAAACTGTCCTTTCCCCATTGAATGTTCTTGGCTCCTTTGTGGTAGTTAATTGGCACATATGTCTGGTTTTATATCTGGGCTCTCTATTCTGTTCCCTTGATCTATAGGTCTGTTTTATGCCAATAACATATTGTTTGATTATTATAGCTTTGTGATATAGTTTGAAATCAAGGAGCATGATGCTTCCAGCTTTGTTCTTCTTACTCAAGATTGGTTTGGCTCTTTGAGGTCTTTTGTGGTTCCATATAAATTCTAGGATTCTTTGTTCTATTTCTGTGAAAAATGCCATTGGAATTTTGATAATACCTATCAAAATTGAATTGAATCTTTAGATTACTTGGATAACATGACCATTTAACAATATTAATTCTTCCAATCCATGATCAAAGAGTAACTTTTCATTTGTTTGTGTCTTCTCAATTTCTTTCATCCATGTCTTATAGTTTTCAGTGTACAAGACTTTCATTTTCTTGGTTAAATTTATTCCTGAGTATTTTATTCTTTCTGATGAGATTGTAAATGAGATTGTTTGCTTCATTTCTCTTTCCACTAGTTCATTATTAACGTATAGAATGCAACTCATTTTTGTATATTGATTTTGTATCCTGCAACTTTATTGAATTTGTGTATTAGTTCTAACAGTTGTTTGGTGGAGTCTTTAGGGTTGTCTATAAATAATATCATGTTATCTGCAAATAGTGACAGTTTTATTTCTTCCTTTCTAGTTTGGATGACTTTTTTTTTCTTGCCTAATTGTTATAGCTGGGACTTCCAATACTATGTTGAATAAAAGTGGTGAGAGTGGACATCTTTTTCTTGTTCCTGATCTGGGCGGAAAAGCTTTAAGCTTTTCACTATTGAGTATGATGTTAGCTGCCGGCTTGTCATGTATGGCCTTTATTATGTTGAGGCATGTTCCCTCTATACCAGCCTTATTGAGTTTTTTTCGTAAATGGATCTTGAATTTTGTCAAATGCTTTTTCTGCATCTATTGAGATGATCATATGATTTCTATCTGTCATTTTATTAGTGTGGTGTATCATATTGGTTGATTTGAAGTTGAACCATCCTTGCATCCCTGGAATAAATCCTGCTTGATCATGATGAATGATCTTTATAATGTATTGTTAAATTCAGTTTGCTAATATTTTCATTGGAAATTTTTGCATCTGTGTTCATCAGGTATATTGGCCTGTAATACCCTTTTCTTGTGATGTCCTTGTCTGATTTTGGTATCGAGGTGACACTGGCCTCATAAAATGAGTTTGGAAGTGTTCCTTCCTCCTCTATGTTGTGGAAGAGTTTGAGAGTGATTGGTAATAATTTTTCCTTAAATGTTTGATATTAATTTTTCCTTAAATGTTTGGTATAATTCACCAGTGAAGTCGTCTGTTCTTGGACTTTTGTTTGTTGGGAGGTCTTTGATTACTGATTCAATTTCCTTCCTAGTAATTGGTCTGTTCGGATTTCTTATTTCTTCATGATGCAGTGTTGGTAGATTAGATGTTTCTAGGAATTTATCCATTTCTTCTAGGTTGTCCAATTCGTTGGTGTGTAATTGTTCATAGTAGTCTCTTGCGATCCTTTGTATTTTTGTGGTATCAGTTAAGACATCTCCTTTTTCATTTCTGATTTTGTTCATTTGAGTCCTCTCTTTTTTTCTTAGTGAGTTGGACAAAGTTTTCTCAAGAGAAAGCAACAATATTTAAAACATCATTTTGTGTTTAAGAACAGGCTGCGGTGACAACGTATACCAGCTCCCAAGCAGAGTGTAAAAGCTTTAATTGTATAATTATATTCTATTTTAGGATAAAGGGAATTAGTAAAATTACTCCTGCTACAACTATACTACTTCAGTGAAGTAGGACTTAAACTGGTGTTGGACCTTCTATCTACATGGAAGTGAAAGTGTAGTACCAATTGAGCAGGTTTTCTAGTTGCATTTAAAAGTAGACTTATTAATGAGAAAACATCATAATTAAGATTAGTTATAAAAATGTGTTGAAATTCTCATGCATTTGAATGGAGAAGTACTCATGCTATTGCTATTGCTATTGCAAAGCCAACCTCTCCAATGTGATTATAAAAAAGTGCTTGAAGGGCTGCTGGATTAGCATCAGTTCATCCACACAGTCATCCAATTAACAGAAATGACGTAATTTCCTCTCTTTCTCACCCAGTACTAGAAAGAGGTTGTTAGTGGCAATTAAAATTAGTATCATAATAAGATGTGAAAGTAAATATTGAAAAATTTGGCTATTAAAGTCTGAAGGTACATATCAAATTGCGAATTCCATTTGATCATGTTTTAACAAAAAACTACTCCTGAATGAACATTATTGGAATGTAGTAAGCTAGAATGTGGATTCCTCGAAGTCGGCATTCATGTCTTTCTTGCTTGCAGCTGTGCCCCAGCACCTAGCATCCTGCCTGGCACACCGTAGGTGCTCATTAAATGTTTTTGAGAAAACTGGTGAGTGGAAAGTTAATATGTACATGGCCATTATCACTGTCAGCTGAGAAAGCTTTTCTCCCACTGTTTGCCAAGGTGGATCCTCCACAGTTAATCAGCTCCGGTGGCCCAAGTCTAACCTCTGCCCTCACCTTTGCCCTCCCCACAGGTGGGCGGGACAATTCTCTCCTGACTGACTTGGGCTGGGTGCTCAAGGGAGGTCCACAACAGTCAGGGAAGTCAGCGCTCCAGAAGCCTCTGCACTATGAGTGTCTCTGTGCTGAACCCCATCAGACCCCCCGGCGGTATCTCTGGGCTCCTGCAAGTGGCCTGCCTGCTGGGCCTGGTTCTGCTGCTGCTCAAGGCAGCCCAGCTCTACCTGTGCAGGCGGTAGCTGCTCAAAGCCGTCCAGGAGTTCCCGTGCCCCTCATCCCACTGGTTCTACGGGCACAGTCAGGAGGTAGGAAGGAGTGGGATGGAGGAGTGGGAGGGTGAGGAGGGTCAAGGCTCTGAAAGTGTGGTCAACAAGCACATCTCACAAAGCCTTATTGTATGACAAGCATGTGGCCCCTGGGAAAAGCCAGTTACCTCTCATGTCTCTGCTCCTCATCCCAGTCCGGGGAGCTCATTCCCTCACAGGAAGCCTGTGCTGGTTGTTCTCAGGTCTGTCCGACACTCCCTCCTTAGGTAGACCTGCAGGCTGTCCTGGAAGCCCTGCACTTTAGGCCAATGACTCTTCTTTCCTGAGTCTCCCCCCTCCAGGCTGAGCAGCCTCAGCTGTTGTCACAGAACAGGCTTCTAGATGCTTCCTTCCCCGGTCACTCAACCTCCTCCTCTCTGCTTGGCCCTGAGCTTGCCTAGGAACACAAACAGAAGTCTGTGGATCCCTGCCCTGTGGGGTTCAGTCTGGAGATGATAGAAAGGGAATCTAAGAAAGTGACAGGTCATAGTAAAAGAGGCTTCCTGGGGTGGGAAGTGATGTCAAGTGTAGGCGGCAAACTGGCTCAGTTTGCCCGAGACTGAGGGATTTTCCAGACTGGTGATTTCAGTGCTTAAACTCTGACCAGTCACTGGCACCCATGAGCGGGAAGGTTTCCAGGATGGTGTCATGTAAGGAGTTCTGGCATTTGAGTTGCACCATTAACAGGATGAGGTGGCCTGCCTGCTCTCCTCCCTCACACCCTGGACTGTGAACTCTTGGAACTGAGCATATAATCCCCTTCTCCCCCAGTACCCTGCAGAGAGCCTGGCACAGAGGTGATCAAGTGTTAGGAGGAAATGGGAGGTTGCAGAGAGCTGAGGCCTCTCTTTACTCAGAGAAGGAGGCAACATGATCACAGCAGAGTGGAGCCAAAGATGGGGACCAGAAGCAGCCAAAGCCCCACATGGGCTGGCCCCAATACCTCTCTCCCTTCCCTTCCTAATCTCTTGCTTCACCCTAAGTTACTCATTGTCCTCCCTCCCTGCCTGTGCATTCCAGCCTGGATCTATGCTCACATTGTGCCCTCTACCTGGAATGATCTTGCCCCTCACATGTCCATCTACCATGGCCCAGCCCAAGCTACCTCCTCCAAGATGTCTTTCTGGGTGTCCCAGGAGCAGAGAGGACAACTCTTTTTCCCCTGGACTCTACTCCTCAAAAAACAGTGCTAACGAGATTCAGCTATTTTTGTTTGCAGTGTTATAGCTGTGAGCTCCTTCTGGGAGAGACCACCTCTGATTCATCTTTGTAACCCAGTAGCATCTCAATAAATGACAACTTGATGAATGTGCAAGTACACGAGGAAGACCTTTCTAATATCCAGTTCTTCCCCAAGCTCCCCCTGGAGGCTTGGGCTTCCTTCCATCACAACATTAATTATCCTCCATGTCATGGCCTCTTAAACTTTCTGTCTCCCCAACTAGACCAGCAGCTCCAAATAGGTAAGGATCTATGGCTGTACCCTAATTCAGTGTTTTAAATGTTACTGGCGCGTTGGGTTCTTGTTGTCCCCCAGGATAGAAATCAACAGAGAGAACAAACAGGAGTAAAAAAGTAAAAGTTTATTAGCTTGTGCACAAGGGAGGCACAAGGGAGCTGGTGTGGTGCAGAAAGGAAAGGGGCAGGTAACTGGCTCGTCAGGGAGCTGGACTGTGGGGCTTTTATTAGGCAAAGCCCCGGGAGGAGTGCCTTGTCAAGGCATGTAGGGGCGGGGTTTTTCTTGCGCTTGCACTTTTGTTCTACGTGCCACCACATGCGTTGCATGTATCATTAGTATGCTAGCTCTGCACCCCTGGGTGTGATTTTTACTATGGTAATGGGGCTAAGGTCACCTTCAGACGACTCCTGGGTGCTAAGGCACGTGTGTAAGCCGGAGAAACTCCGGAGGCTGTGGAATGTGGATCTTGGTAGTCTCTATCCTGATTCTCTTACCTTGCCCATTGGTTAGGGGCCTTACCCTGTTAGGCCAGGGGCCTTGCAGGAACCTCTGCAAGGTTCCTGTCTCAAAACCAGTGCCTGGCACATAGTAAATGCTCCATGAATACGTGCTGAATGAAGGAACCTGTCCCATAGTAGGGAAAGTTGCCTCAGAGCTCATGAATCTTGGTTGTCAGAAGGATGCCGGCAATGATTAGATACCAATGTAGCAGAGAGTTACTCTGAGTTATGTCAAAGCAGTTGAAATAAAGAAGAGCTGACTAAATGGAACACTTAGAGGACCAAATGTCTACGAGAATTCCAGAGGTTATAAAACAAAGCCGAGTCTTAAAATTTGAGGAGAGGCACTTGCTCTGTGGCAAAGAGGAGGGCACTCCAGGTAGAGACAAGAGCATGTACCGAGACCTAGAAGGGCGAGCAGGGTTAGGTGGTGTAAGGAGCAGCAGCACCTTGGGGAAGGAGCAATGGGTTCTGGTGGAGTGGCCAGCATGGCAGGAGGCAAGAACAGAGAAGGTAAGCCAGAAAGCAAATGCCTCTGTGATCCACATTGAGGAGTTTCAAAAGACTACTCACAAAAGTGGGAAGCTCACAAAAGTTTCTTTTCACTGGTGAGTGAAAAGGAGATTAAAAAAAACAAAAATCAAAAACATAAATCAACAATATTAAGAGCCAATCCAAAAAGTATTAGGGCCACAGATGTTTTCCTTTATAGTGTTAATTGACTTAAGATCCATCAAAATGTTGTTAAAATGTCCAGAGGTTAACAATAATGATGGCACATGGGTCACGTTAAAATTCTTTTTGTGTGAAAAAAATAAAACGAAATGATAAAAAAAAATCAAAATCATCATTCAATATCACTTTCATATGGCTACATCCAGATTTTGTTCTACCACTGTGTGCATATTCAATATATAAAATAATTTTATACACACAATTTTGTATTTAATTTTTTTTCACTTATCCGTATACATCCCAGCACTATTTCATATTAACAAACATTTACATGTATGCTGGGATAACGTTGAAAATACATAACAACCAATATGGCAAAATGAAATGAATATATAAATTTAAATTTTAAAATGTAATCAATTTTATTCTCTAAATAAACAAAAGTGTATGGCAAAACTGATTGCCAAGTGATACAAGTTGTCACACAAATTGTTGACACAAATGTTGTAATGACTTCCAAAAGGTTTACACCGTGGAGTCAATCCCTGACCCACTTTCTCTGGGCAGTTCAGAGTGAGGGCCCATAGCTTCACCAACAATGAGATGGAATCCGGCCTGAGGACAAACCTTGGACAGCCAGCAAAGTCCAGAACAGAGCCCAGGTCATGTGAAACAGTTCTAAACTCTTAGTTCTGCTGATAGATCTAGAACTCTCTCCCTGTGCCCATCCTGCCCTTCACCTCCACTCCAGCCCTGGAACTAGAAGGCCTTTATTGATTTATCTTTCCCTTGGTGACAGTTCCAAAAGGATGAGGAGCTTCAACAGATGATGAAATGGGTAGAGAAATTCCCGTGTGCCTCTCCTCACTGGTTATGGGGAAGCGAGGTTCTCTTCCTGGTCTATGACCCTGACTACATGAAGGTGATCCAGGGGAGATCAGGTGAGAGCAAAACCCACATCCTGGCTGGAGCAGCTCCTCCCTCTTGGATACATGCCCCTGGGTCTGTGAAATTCCAGAACGGACTGGCGGTTCAGCCATCAATACCTGACAGTCTTACAACCATCCTCCCAGCACACAAGCCTGCCTAAGGCCAACACTGTTTACTTAAACTGAAGGCTTAAAGAACTCTGTGGGGCTGAATTTCTTTTTTCTTTTGTCTCTTTCATTCCTTTTTAACCAAATGAGCATGATCTGTTACATAAATTGCCCCAGATCTGAAAGACAATTTCCTTTGCACACTGACTTGGGTTTGGCACCTCTAATTGTTGCCTGTACTGGGCCATGGAATGGCTAATCTACATATTGTAGGAAAATCACGGCTTCTGTCTTTTCTTCGGCACTGAGGACAGAGCCTGTGTTTCTTACAGATTCACCATCCTAGCCCTCTGGGTGTCCTGCTGATGGAACACTCAGTGTGCCTTCCTGAGTCCACAGCGACCATCAGGACAGACACAGTCAGGATACGAGGCAAGTGGGAGGTGGCTTAAGACCAACTGGCAGCTAGCTGACAATCATCAGGAAGAGATAGCAGCCCATGGTCTGGACCACAGCTGCCTCCTGGGGGCCACAGGTGTTGTTTGGTCCCCTCCAGCTTCCTGTAATGCCCTTCCTTACCTTTCAGACCCAAAGTCTCACGGATCTTACAGATTCCTGGCTCCCTGGATTGGTAAGTGTGTCTAACTAGGACTCCGGTCCACCCACTACTTTGGTTTGCCAAGAGCTATCTCTTTGGCTCATAGAGAACAACAGGTGCCTGGCCACCAAGTCACCACCCTCATCTCTGGATCAAGCCTCATTTCTCTTCTTGTAACAAGATGCTCCCCTATCCTAATGGTGGTGAGAGCCCTGCCGAAGCTCAGCTTCTTGCACATCACTTCTCAGTCCTTGCCATGATCTCAGCCTGACTTTTATTGAAATCCTTCTATGACATACCCTCTATTCCTTTGCAACATTTCTCTCACAGCTATCATAATCACTTTCTATGTACCAGCCATTTGGGGAAATTCTCAGTCCTGAGGTGTAGTGGCCTTTCCTGTCTTTGCCCATGATAGGCCTTCCTCTGACACCCTTGGTTCTCCCCAAGTTGTCCCAAATCGTTCCTCTGATCCCCTCTCTTGATCCTACACACACCTCCATCTCTGGCCTGGGGTATGGTTTGCTCCTGTTGAATGGGCAGACATGCTTTCAACACCGGCGGATGCTGACCTCAGCCTTCCACTATGACATCTTGAAGCCCTACGTTGGGCTCATGGCCGACTCTATCCGAGTGATGCTGGTAAGTCCATCCCTCTCACCTGCACACACTCACACACATCACAACTCACAGAGTCCACTCCAGACACGTGTCCCTCAGACATCCATCAGACACAGGCACCCAAAATAACATTATGAGACAGAGCTCCCCAAAAGTGGATGGGACAGGAGAGTACCCACACGCCAGCTTGAATCCACACTTTGGTTATTGCCAAGGGAAAGGAGGGTCATGGTGGGTACAGGGTCCGCTCTCCTCCCACCTCCACATCTTCAGCACAGTGGACTAGAACAAGGGTCATTTCCACTGGACAGCAGGACAAACTGACCCTGGCTGGCCTGGGAGTTGACAGCCTCAGCACCAGAGTGGACATGCCAGGATGTCACTCAGGTGGGCTCTGGCCTGGGGCCCAGGGCTTTTACATGGATTTGAGCCACTCTACAGGAAAAAATGGAGACCAGGTCAACAATCTCAGAGCCAGGTCCTGCCATCACATCACCTCCCATCAGGACTGTGATTTCTCACCAACTGTGCTCAGCTAACATTTGAGGAAAGAAAGGAATTGAAGTCCCTGATGTCCCTTCCTTAGGAGTCCCAGTACTTTCCGCTTTGGCTTTTTCTTGCCTTGACACATTTGCTCCCTAAAGTTGGACTTCACCTGTCCCTCAGGTCTAGCTCAGCTCTCAGAACACAAAAGATTCCCCCTCTGTCCCCTGAGAAATGCTGTTTTCTGGTCTGCCAAAAGGTGGTTCTCATTGTAACTAATTCCTAAAATTCAAAACTAGTTCAGACTATTATGAGTGATCAAGATTAATTATAAAATAAAAGTTTCTGAGAAAATAGGCCTCACATTACAAACACTTTCATACACTTGCATGTAGTCATAATTTCCTACACTGCATCTGTTTTAGAAAGTGAGGAAATCCCTAAAGAATGTTTAGAGAGACAGAGAGAGAGCATGGCTTTGTCATCACAGGCCTTCTGGGAGAGCAGAGTAGGGTCAATGTCCCTGTTCCACCACAGGACAAATGGGAGGAGCTCATCAGCCAGGACTCACATCTGGAGATCTTTGGACATGTCTCCATGATGACCCTGGACACCATCATGAAGTGTGCCTTCAGCCACCAGGGCAGCATCCAGACAGATGGGTTAGTGATAGTCTTTCCGTCCCAGGGTCCCCTTTTTTCCAACTGGTGTGGACTTACCTGATAGGCAGTAGGGCAGGTTGGATGCTTACAGCACAAAAAACAACATTCTGCCAAGGGACACCCACAATGTTTAAATTCCATGCACCCAAACCTTGACTCAGCCACAGATCCTTGGCACAAGTAGAGGCTTGGCTGCCACACAGCATATAAAGGGCTGAGGGTGTTAAGGGCTGTAAGACAGCAATGACCAGTGCCTCACTGTGGCCTGTCCCCAGTGATTGAGGAAACCTCCAGCCAGAACCCCACTCCACCTCCAGGTCAGAGGCCTCCCTCCACTCCAGACTCTTCTGCATCCTTTCCCTTCAGGAACTCACAAGCCTACAACCAGGCCGTTGGGGACCTGAACAATCTGACTTTTTCCCAGGCGAGGAATGTCTTCTACCAGAATGACATCATCTACAGGCTGACCCCCAATGGCTGCTGGAGCCACTGTGCCTGCCAGCTCGCCCATCAACACACAGGTTGGACTCCACCTCCGCGGCTGCTCCCCTCGTTCATCAGGCACATCGCAAGGAGACTCCCCTGAGCCCTCAGATAGAGCTCGACCCCCTGCTGCCCCTTCAGGAGCTGGGATACACCCACACTGGGTACATCCCTGGTGCAGGGGTGGGAAACAATATGTTAGGGAGCCAGGTGTTGTGCAGGGATTTACAAGTGTCACCTCATTCATGATGGTTGAGTGAGACAGCCTCCCAGGAGCATTCAAGCAGAGCCTCCATGTGCCATGCTATTGAGGGAAGGTCTGACCTGCAATCGGATGGTGTAAGAGCTCTCACCTCTGACCTGCACACTCACTCCCACACTCATCCTGCTCCACCTGGCACCCAGACTGGGGCAGGGGGCAGATGAGACTACTGTGTGTTGCTGTATCTGGGCACCCAGACCTCTCAGCTCTGCCTGGGAACCACTGTTCTGGGACAGACCAAGTGGTCAAGCTAAGGAAGTCTCACCTGCAGAAGGAGGGAGAGCTGGAGAAGGTCAGGAAGAAGAGGCACTTGGATTTCCTGGACATTCTCCTCTTTGCCAGAGGGAGTGTGTGTAGGAGAGGGCTGAGGCTTAGCCCAAAAGTTCAGAGGAAGGGGCAAACCCTGCACTCTCACTGTGCTTCCCCCTGATGGAGAATGGGAGCAGCTTGTCTGACGAGGACCTCCATGCGGAGGTGGACACGTTCATGTTCGAGGGCCACGACACCACAGCCAGCAGTATCTCCTGGATCCTCTATGCTCTGGCCGCACACCCCGAGCATCAGCAGAGGTGCCAGGAGGAGATCCAGAGCCTCCTGGGGGGTGGCGCCTCCATCACCTGGTGAGTGCTCTAGAGATGGGAGAGCCATGCCCACTCACCTAGAGAAGCCCCTGGTCTCCCGGACCCTGCCCGCCCTTCAGGATGGGCTTGGGTTTCACGGACCACCGGGACCAGATGCCCTACACCACCACATGCGTCAAGGAGGCACTGAGACTCTATCCACCAGTACCAGACGTCGGCAGAGAGCTCAGCAAGCCCATCACCTTCCCTGACGGACGCTCCTTACCCAGAGGTGTGAACCTCATCACACTCACTAACCTGAGCACTCTGCAAGAACACAAGGAAGATTAGAAATCCACATGTCCCAGAGCAGTTCCGAACCTCTCTGGGTTTTGTTTTCCCCTCAAGAAAATCTATACATACTTTGTAGTTAGGATGAGGTGTACGAAATCTTGGCACAGAACTTGAACCCAGAAAAATTCTATAAACAAATGCTAGCCTCTGAATGTGGGCTTGAGAATTAGCCCTAAAATTCTAATTCCCTGAGATCTGAGGGCTGGAGAGACAATCAGACAGGCAGAGGGGGAGATATGGTACTTATCTTACGGGGTCTAGGCAAATGAGGGCGATCAGAGAATCCACTGTCATGGGTCAGATGGACCAGTCTCTGAGGACCCCTCAGGTTGATGGCAGAGAGCAGCTGATGACCAGATCTGAGACCCCGGCCATGGCTGGAGAAGACAACCCCTTGGCTCACCTCCCACTGGGTTTGATTTCCAGCCCTGGCACATCCTAGCTGTGTGATCATAGGCAAGTCACTCAATCTCTGAGGATCAGGGGCCTCATCTGAACAATGGGGATATGAGAGCCTTTCTTGGAGGGTTAATGTGAGGAGTGAATGAGTTAATGCATATTTATCAAGGGCTCGTGGATGGCACTTGATAAATGTGAGTCGTCACTTGAGTTGCTCCAAAAAGTAAGCCCCCAGTTCTTTCTTGCTCCTCAATCCTGGGTCATGGTTTTCTCCTCCTAATCTGTGCACATGAGCTTTGCCATGTCCACCCCACCTCTCTTGCAGCAGGATCATTCCACTCAGAGTGAGGGGAAGTGGCTCCCAAGACTTTCCTGCATGCACATGCCCCCTGCTGGCAGAGAGAGGGGGCCCCACCCCATGGGTATGATCAGTCTTCTCTCTTCTCCGCCTGCCCCACAGGAATCATGATTGTGCTCTCCGTTTATGCCCTTCACCACAGCCCAAAGGTGTGGCTGAACCCGGAGGTATGATGGCCGTGGGAGGAGGAGATGGGGCGATCTCTCCAGACCAACACTTCCTCTCACTCCCACCTCGGGCGTCCTGTCCCCTCGTGGATTGCAAGGAGGGGCTTGACCCCACTGTCCTGTCCCTGGTGCTCTCTCTGCAGGTGTTTGATGCTTCCCGGTTTGCACCAGATTCTAGTCAACACAGCCACGCTTTCCTGCCCTTCTTGGGAGGACCAAGGTGAGATTTTCTGTACTTGAGGGCGGAGTGTCACCGGGCGCACACCCGATGTTTGTGACCTCCTACGTTCATATTGGTGTCTGCAGTTTTGCCCTTGTATGTCAGTGTGTGGGGAAGGAGGCATGTGTCTCTATGTACAAAAGAAAGGTGGCATTTCATGGCAAGATGCAGGGACTTTGACCTACTGACTTTCCAAATGGCCAGCCACAATTCAGTGTCAGTGGCTGTTCCAAAGTTCAGTGTATTCTGGTGTTTTCCCCACTTTAGGAGTGTGACTTTCCAGAATTACGAATTTTTCATGAAAATTAAACTTCAGACGGTTGCTTTTCTCAATTAACAGTAAACGTTAACAGGTGATTTCTCTCTTCCCACATTCGCAATCCAGCCCAGGGCCTTTTCTCCCTAATTCCCTGATCCACCACTCACTGTCTCACTGATGCCTGCATGTGTTGGGATTTCCAGCGCCTTCCTTGTCCTAACTGTTCAGCTATATACATGGAAGGTTACAGTAGCCAACAGAAGAAAGTTTCACACCAATGTGTGTCTTCTCTATTTTTGCAGTCTATCCCAATAAACTTTGACTGCATATTAATAATCACCTAACCATGGCAACTTTTCCTGTTGGCAAAAATTCTTTACACACAGTGGGATCTATATGCTATAGTCCCAGAGTCTACATGCTGCAGTGTTGGCAAAAAGCATACCAATCAACTACTTTTGAGAGAAAATCCACTATTCCAAGTATGACACATGCATTTGAAAGCTTCCTGGTGTGTAAAACATAAAGCACACTTGAGACAGCTGTTGAGCTGGCTGAGTCCACTCCAGAATGGCTGTGGTGAAAATCCTCCAATGCTGCTGAAATCATCCTGTGAAATAGTAACTTCCACAAACTTCTAAGTAGTTACTAGAAACAACTCTTTTCTGAATCCATAATTCTGTGGATTCTTCAAATGGTGAACCAAGTTTCGCAGAACAGGCTTTAAGCAAATTGTTCTTCCAGAAATTGGCTCTAGGATTTGGTTTCTCCCAGGACTGGGTCCTTCCTCATAGACATTGACTACAGGCTGTGGCTGCCACTAGAGGACAGAAGAGTACTACGCAGCTCAATTCCTAGGTCAGAACTAATGCTACTTTTATTTTATTCCATTCCACCTTTATTTGTTTTTCAGTTCAATTAACTTCATTCAATTAGAAAACTATTTTTTAAGCCCGCCTCTGTGGGCCAAGTCCAGTACTAAGAGGTGGGAACACAGAGATGAAAGACACTGTCCCTGCCTCCAAGAGGCCACAGTCAAGAAACAAATACCTGTACACAAGACACACATCATTCATTCATTCATTCATCCTTTCACTCATTCACTCACTGAGCAGATAGTTGAATGTTCCATATTCACTATGAGTGCCCACTGTCCTGGGCACTGGACGGTGATGTGTCCTTGAGTAAATCACTAATGGTGCCTTGAGGGTCTAGAGAGGAAGAGTTAGAGCCAGCAGAGGAAGTGAGTGTGGACTGTCATTGGACTTAGCCTTGAGCACCTACTTGGAAGGCAGAGGTGGAGGGAGGCATTCACGGCCATCTCAACATGAGCTGAGCTAGGAAGTGGAGCTGTACAGGTAAAAGGTGAGTGAGGCAACAACCCATAGAGGGCTTTGATGCCAGGTGAGGCATTTGGACATGTCCTTCCTGTGATGGAGGGCACAGGAGGGTCTGAGCTGGACCATAGCTTCAGTGTAGAGGGAGGGGAGGCAGGGAGACAGAAAAGTCCAGGTGAGGAGACTGAGGGATGGCAAGGAGGAACATTTCTGGGCTAGACTGGAAGGCTACAGAAGCTGGTGGACTGAGGGGATGAGGGGGAGGCAGGAGTGTGGACCATTAATTGGGAGGCAGATGATAGAGGAGGCTGAGGGTTGCTAACCCCTGGCCCCTCTGAGAAGCTTCCCTGTTGCCATTTTGACTTCCTTACACAACTCCATCATGTCCTCTCTCTGAGGATCGGGGTCTCTGTGTGTCCCCCTAGAGGGTGAGGGTCTGAGAGTGTGGCCCACCCCACCCCCTACCGTGCCCTGACCTGGCCTCCACATTGTGAAACCAGAAACTGCTTGTGCGGGAGTGAACAAACTAAGAATTAACGTTTTTAGTGATTCGCTTGACTTGACTTGTGGCTTGGAGCACTGACCCTCACCTAACAGGATTCCAGGCCTGCTGAGAGCAGAAGTAGGAGTTAGGAGCTAGTCCTGGAGGGAAGTAGGCTTTGTCAGAGATCAGGGGGAAGGTGAACTGAACCAAGGCTTGGGGTAGAGGTGTGTGACATGTAAGGATGGGATCGGGGCTGGGCCACATGCAGGAGAGCCCTGAATGCCCTGTTCCTGGCCGGGGCCCAGTGGTCAATGCCTGCCCAGCTCAGAAGGGAGTTTAAGGCCACTTCTCATTTTGTTTCCCCTCCCTGGCCCAGGAACTGCATTGGGAAGCAGTTTTCCATGAACGAGCTGAAGGTAGCCATGGCCCTGACACTGCTCCGCTTTGAGCTGGCGCCGGATCCCTTGAGGGTCCCTGCTCCCCTCCCAAGAATTGTGTTGAAGTCCAAGAATGGGATCCACCTGCGTCTCAGGAAGCTCCTCTAACCCTTCTTGGGGACAAGAACAGGCTCTGAGGGGCCCCTGCAGCCATCCTGTCTTCCTGTCACTCTCTCCTGTCCCCTGCCTGTCTGCCCACTTTCTCTATTCTATCTGCCCACCTGGCAGCCTACCTGATCTCCTGCCTCCTGCCCATCAGACTGTCGCCCTTCTCTCTCTCATCCTTCTCCAGGCTTCCTATCCTTCTGTCTGTCTCTGACCCACCTGCATCTCTGACTGTCACCAAACTCCTCATCACCTGCCTGTCCTCCAACCTGTCTACCTTCTCCCTGTCTTTCCCTTTCTGCCTGCCTGTCCATCCCTGTATTAGTTTCCTTTGCTGCTATAATAATTTACCACAGCCTTAGTGACTTAAGACAATGCAAATTTCTTCTCTTATGGTTCTGGAGTCAGAAGTCTGAAATGTCTTCGCTGGACCACAACCAAGGTGTTGGCAGGGCCATCCTACCTCCGAGTCTCTAGGAAAGAATCCCTCTCTTCTCCTTTCCAGCATTTAGAGCTGCATTCCTTCATTCCTTGGCTCCTGTTGCCTCCTTCATATTCAAATCCAGCAGCATCTTCAAATGTCTCTCTGCTTCTGTCTTCACCTGGACCTCTTCTTTATGAGGACCTTTGTGATTACACAGGCCCACTCACATAAACAGGACGTAGTCACAGGGTCCAGGGATTAGGATGTGGAAACCACTGGGAGCCAGTATTCAGCCTGCTGAGTCCCTGTGTAACTGCCCTTGGTCTGTGCTCCCGATCTCTTCTGTGTGTTAACTGCCTATACATTTGTCATTCACTCACCCTCTTCTTTCCCACTCCCTGCAATAAAGCTCACAGTGTTGCATGGAGTGTTGTCTTCCCTTGGAAGGAGATGGATGGAAGAGAAGAGAGAGAGAAGGAGAGGGAAGACAGAGGAGACAAGGAAGGTAGATAGTATCTGCTCTGTGGTGCCAGGACCCCAGCAGGGCCAGTCGCGTCCCATCGCCTCAGACGCCATGGCATGGGCGTCTGTCCAGGAGGGACTGGGAGGATCCCAGGTGGGCAGGTGTGTTGACTGTTGGGAGATGACATCAGACCCCAAACAGTGAATAGCTGGTGGCAGCTCTCCTACAGGACAGCCGCTTGGCAGTCCCCTGCATCTCTGGTCAGCCACCCTGAGGGAAGAGGGGCTTCTTCAACCCTAACATACCTGGTGACTGGGTGGGGACTGGTCCCCCGTTACTGAATCAGGTTCGTTCTGCCCGCTACATGAAATGCCAGTCACAAAGATGACGAGTTTGCAGCAGAGAAAAGGTTTATTCACAAGGCAGTCAAGCAAAGAGAGGGGAAAACAAACCTCAAATCCACCTCCCAAAAAATGGGGAGTGGGGCTATTTATGGGATAATGGGGGCAGGATGGTCTGAAGTGTGAGAATAGATGATTGGAGGTAAGGAGAAGTGAGGTAATTGATGATCTGCACAAATGTGGTCAAGCTTCACGGCTCTTTATAGGATGCTTGTTCACAAAATGGTGGCGTCAGCATAATCCAAGGGTGGAGTTTTCAGCCCCCTGATGTCAAAGGGTCACCTATTGGTCATCCACCCAGGCTGTTGATGAGTTGGGGGTCTTAACTGGCCTGAACTGGACAAAGAGTCAACTCTTAGTTTCTGAAAAACTTAAGCACCCATTACCACGGCGACCCAAGTGTCAGAGATGTTATCTATAGGGTGGGCTTTAGTAATGCATTATCTAACCACTTTTGCAAACAGACAGCTAACTGAGTATAGTTAAAGCAAGTTGGCCCCCAGTTTCACTCCTGACCCTGGGCCCTGTTCCAGCACCAGGCCCCTTTGCACTCCTCCACCAGCCTCTCTCAACCCAGCCCTGCTCTCTTGCTGGTTCTGCACACAGGTCCTCCCCGCTCCCATTCCCTGCCTTTCCCAGCCCAGGGCCCAGGATGCCATAGACAGACCTCCCTGCAGCCCTCTGGCTGTGGTGTGATGCCACGCTCTGCCTCCCTGAAGGGGCTTCTCCCCCAGCCAGTGCTGAAACAGAGGATGAAGTTAAAATTTCCCTGGATTAGGGCGAAACCTGCCTGTACCCACAAGGTTGGCATGGGAAACAAAGTAACCAAAGTTTCTGAGCTTGTTTTGCAGAACAGCAAGAGGATCACTGATAAGACAGCAGCTTGGTGACAGCTCCCCCCCACTAAACATCGCGCAGGTGCACTGAGAAGCTAAAATGACCAACTGTAAACTTTAGACGTCACAGACAAAAAATCCACTGCATGCAACACATAGAACCCCCCCCCGAATTGCACACGGGACCCATGAAGAAACATGAAAGACAGTCGTGGCTGTGCAGAGAACTCTCAAAACTTCAGCCCCCAAGGCCACATGCTCCTCCTCCCCTAGCTAAAACCCCAAATAAAAACCCTTGCTTTTGGGGGGGGGTTTGGGGAGGGTTTTTTTTTTGGTGAGGAAGATTGGCCCTGAGCTAACATCTGTTGCCAATCTTCCTCTTTTTGCTGAGGAAGATTAGCTCTGAGCTAACATCTGTACCAACCTTCCTCTATTTTTTGTATTTGAGACACTGCCACAGCACGGCTTGATGAGTGGTGCATATGTCTGCGCCTGGGATCCGAACCTGCGAACCCCGGGCTACTGAAGCAGAGCACATGAACTTAACCACTACACCACCGGGCCGACCCCTAAAAACTCTTGCTTGTAGCTCTTTGGGGAGTTCGGGATTACAGCGTTAGCTGCCCGTTCTCGTTGTTCAGAGCTTTGCAATAAAATTCCTAGTTCCTTCCACTACACCCAGAAATTGGCTTACTGTGCGACGGGTGAGTGAACCCACTTCAGGTTCGGTAAGAGTGCCTGCAGTCAAGACCTCCCTCCCAGTCCCCTGTCCTCATGGTCACTGGGCTAGTTCAACCCTGCTCTGAGAAGGGGCAGGGCAGACACTCAGTGCTTGACTGGGGGTTGGAGCATGAGAGTCCGCTGGTATCATCCTGGACAGGACGTTTGGCAGGTGCCCTGGCATCAGGTGGTGCAGAGGGTTCAGCTGACCACCCTTAGAGAGCAAAGACAATGAGAACTTGGAATTCTGGGCCGCAGGCCATGGACACGTGCTATAACCACAGGATTCCACAGGGGGTGAAGAGAGTGACCAAGAAATGACCCTGCTGGCTCCAGGCAATGGAGAAAACCAGGCTGAGTTCACCCGCATATGCACACCCCCGTGACACACACAGAGACACTCCTGTGCAGCCATACCTGCATGTGCCCCTCACACAGCACACTCTCCCCACACACACATGCACAAAAATGCCTGGGATCATTGGAGGCAGCAGACTGTGTTTGCAGAGCTAGAGGGATTGAGTGGAATTCATATTTGGTGCCAGTGGGTCCCCAGCCTCTGTCCTGCCCTCCCACAGGGAACCCCCCCCTTCCCTCAGGCTCCGGAGCTCTCAGCTCTATTTCCCACTGACTCCTGTCCCCAGAGAGAGAGTCAACGCTCCCTATGGAGTCTTGGTCAAAAGAGGCCAGAGTCAGAAGGCCTCAGCTCAAGCTCCTCCTTGATGAGCATCTTGGCAGCTTCCTTCCCTTAGTATTGAAGTGGCCTAATGACCCCTCCAGTCCTGACTCACAGGCCTCCTGACAATCCAGAGATGAGAGAAGTAGACACGTCTTAGACTCGGGCACCATCCATGGGCCAGAGGTGGTTATGACCTCTGGGCTCAGCTCCCTGGTGATAGCTCTTGAGACCATATCTTCACTGGTGCAGAGAAAGGTCTGTCCAGGGCCACGGCAGAGGGGGTAGTTGGTGGCATGGGGTCACCCTGGCTGAAGCCTCTGCATCCCAGCCTCAGGACGGGAAGGGGGTCTGGGTCTTGACAGGGCTTTGCAGGAGTGAGCAGGTGGCCCCTGGCCAAGCTTCCAGGACTGTGGCCTTCTGAGGGAGCAAGCATCTATAGCAAGAAGGATGTCTCCAGATGGTCCATCTCCAGGGTAACGTGGAGACATCCTTAAGTCCCAGGGCTAGAATTCCCCTCTCCCGTCCCTCCCTCAGGCTCCAGTGCCCTCCCTTCCACAGCTGTCTCATTCCTGCATTGGAGTCCACTAATGGCCTTAGACCCGAACTCGAGAGGCATGTGTGCCCCCAGCCATCAGGCAGCTGCTGCAGGGACTCCTGGGGAGCGATCTCTGATTCAGCATGTGGCCCCATCTGAGTGCTCCCCAAAAGTCCTCCTTTGCACCTTCGTGCCTCACCCTGCCTCAAGGCCTGACTCAAGCACCCTCTCTTCCAGGAAGCCCCTTCAAATGCTACTCTGCCAACTTCCCAGCCAAAGTCCCAGTGCTCAGAGTGCCAGGTGACTGTGACACAGACGCTGACGATGGCAGGAGTGCCGCAAAAACCCATCACAGGAGGGGCAGAAGACACACCCAAGGAACCATATTCCATATTCCTTGATCTTGGCAGTGGTTACTTGGGAGTTTGCTTTAGAAATTCATTGTTCTCGACATTTCTGGTTTAGGCAATTTTTCCTTACTTCTGTTATACTCCAAACACACACACAAAAGTGAAACAAAGAAACACCTCTCAGTGAAGGCACAGCCCCGAAAGCCATCCCTCTGTCACGTGGAATGGGTGAGTGCCTGCTCACAACCATGAATCCCCAGGCACAGCTTCCATTGTGTTCACCGTGTCACTGAGGCTGGATGTAAGTTTCTGCTACATTTTAGGAAGACTGCCAATTATGGGAGATAAGTGAAGATTCCAGCAGGAAGCGGGTGCTCACCATATGTTTGTGGAAGGAGTGAGTGAGCTCTAGAATACATGCATGATAGGCATGTATAGACACACATGGCCCTGCCCTCGAGGTGATTGTCCATGCCGGTGCCGACTCCCCCTCTAATCGACAAGCCTCCGGAGGGCAGGGAGCCACAGCTACTGCACAATCCAGCCTGGGGAGGGCGGTG